TTTTCTACATTCCCAGATAAGCAGCGTAAAATCTAGGGATAGGAGAAACTTGGCAAGATTGGATGGCGAAGCAAGTCCTTGAATGACTTTAAAATAATATTTTTAAACTTTTTCAAGAAGCTTATCAGTGTTTCGGTACTGCTTTTCACAGTACACAAAGGAGGGTACTGAGCTGATGTCATGTCTTCCTGTAGTGTAACCAACGTGGCGTGCGTGGGACAGCCCAGAGCTATGACAGGCGTGGATAAGGTGACTGTTTATTGTGTCAGCCATTTGTAACAAAAAGTTCACATAAACGAATTGGACTCTCCTTCTTAGATTTAGTTGGTAAGAGGAAAAGGAACATTTTAGACATATTTCAAAACTGAGTTGCTGATGAGGCCACAGATAGTTTTTCAAGGGTTTGAGGAAATCAGGCAGTGTCTCATCTGTTGTTAATTAATGAAACGAAACTGGGGTCACTAGAGTACAACAATGAATGAAAGGTCAGTGAATGGAAAAAGCTGTCAATGAAGGAGGATGTCAGCAGAGTGGAACATTGTCCTAGATAAAGATCAGGGGAAATGTGCCCTTTGGCTGAGGTCGAGTTTTCTGCAAGTGACTGGGAGCTGTGGTTGGGGACATTTCAAGACGGACTGAACACTAAGCGAATGCTCTGGTTTCAGCGGAATCTGTTAAATATTTTAAGGCTGTGCCAGTTTATGCTGGAGATTAGTTGAAAAGATTTGTAAAAAAATAAGGTTTCTTTTTTGTTTTATAATGTGTTTAACAGTGTGTTATTGCTCTTTTGTTTGCCTTTGGGGTTTTGTTTAGGGGCTGAATACGGGTTTCTTTCATTTATTTCTGTTCTCTTAGAATTTTCTAGAGCCACACTCACGTTTGAGGCCCACTGAAGTTACAGTGACTTAGGATCACTGTACTGATTAATTAATGGTGGAGCTGGGCCTGGGACAGCCGCAGCTGGCTGACTCTCAGGTTATGACTGTTGCAGAATTGCATCCTCTCTGAAAGTTTTCCTGAGGGTGGCCCGAAGCCATCGATACACAGCTTCAGCTTTACTACCAGCTTGCAAATGGTGATCTTGAATCAACCAGTGACTCTGTTTATGTTTCAGCTAGTTCATGTGTCTCTGGTCATGTCAGACCTCCTTCCCCTTTTCCTCTGTCATTGGAGCTTTGGAACCATACGGCTTTGGGGAAGCAAGGCTCTTCCATCAGTTTGGGAGAGGCCCATGTCATTTTTAGCCTGGTATTGAGACTTGGTAGGGCCTGGTATGTGAGGGGAGGACTCTGTGGGTGTCAGCAAGGCTGTCTCACATCCTAGAGAGAGTGATTCGTAATATTTAGTATTGCTGTATAGCACAGCAATTGAGGGTACAGTCTCGAGCCAGACTGCTGAGGCTCGTGTCCTAGCTCTGCCAGCTAGTGTCCTCTGTCTTTCTGGAACTCTTTTTTAAATCTGTAAAATGGGAATAACTACAGCACCTACCGCTTGTAAAGACTGAATAAATACTTGTAAGATGCTTAGAGCAATGCTTGTCACATAGTAAATGTCCGATAATTCTTTGGTAACCTACATTACTTATAAGTATGATTTATTATTACATTTAAAATGGAATTCAGGCCAAGTTTCCTTGGATTGTCTGGTTTTTCTTTTCTCTGAGACCATTTATTGGAATATTGTCTTGCTGGATTTAAATGAGAGAGACCATCCCATGAACTGTTTGGAGCCAGAATTTAAGAAAGAAAGAAAGAGAGAGAGAGAAAGAGAGAATGAAAGAGAAAGAAAGAAAACTTTTTTAGAGAAATACCAGACCCACAGAAGTTAAAAGAAGTTAAAATTTAAACTCACTGTTAAATTATAATCTAAATAGTGCCGTCAGTTATTTTGCTGGGGAGCTGTAAGGTAAGCAAAGAATGATGAGACTCTTTAACATTTGTTACAAGAACTACTTTGGGGGTGGGGAACCTCACGTTAAATAACTATATTATGCAATTAGGCTGAAAAGGAACAAAACAGTAATAGGGAAACAAAATTATAAATCCTAAACAGTGACACTCATCTATGCCAGTGTTGGCTGTCCCTTTTTTTTGAGATTGTCTGTGGGTTATACTTGCAGGTATAGGAATTCTAGTTGACTCTATTTCAGTAATTGCAATGGCCCTAGTATGGTGTTTCCTTAAGTATGAGTTCCATTAGTTTTTTATTCATTTTAGGAGGGGGAATGAGTGGGAGAATTCCATGACCAAATAAGTTTGGGAAACTATTTGAGTTCAATGAAATTAAACTAGTTTCTTTGGAGATACTTTTTGCAGCCTTTAATATGCTAATGTGTGCTGTGACACTCCCAGGGACATGTGATATGCTGTATTTTTCTTTCTTTTTGGACCAATATCTCGTTTGTCGACTTCCTGCAGGACACTAGTGCTCTGGAGCACACTTTGGGAAATGTAACCTTAGAAGCACTGCTTTTTCTCCACCTTGTGTCTCTGGTGAATCCTAACAAGGTGAAGCTAAACAACTAGCTGTACATAAAGGTTGGAGGAAGGCCTTGCGGATGAGGCTTGGTCCTTAAATGTATGATTATTATATTGAAATAATCATCACTGATACCTGTAGGGTGCTTACTATGTGCCAAGCACTACGTCCTTAAATGTGTTAACTAATTTAATGTTTTCAACACTCTGTGAGATAGGTATGGTCATCATCCCTGTTTACAGTTGAGGAGGCTAATAGCCAGAGGGCTTCAATCACTTGCCCAAGTCAGGCAACAAGAAAGGGGTGAAGCCAGGATATGAACTTGGGTATAAGAGCCTGCTGGTCTTACTTTCTCTGCTTCACGATCGTATATATGGTTTTTTGAGGCTTGTACGTGTGGTTTGTATGCTGTGTATACCTGCATGGGGTGGGGTGGTGGCCGTGGTACTCTTGGATGAAAGAAGAGTATGAAAGTGTGGAAGAATGAGTTTTGTGTAGCTGGAGGTCATGGTTGGAAATGGTAAGAAATGAAACCATGAAACTGTACAGGTACAGATCCTGAGGGCCTCGTCTGTCACACAAAGGAATCTGGGATTTCTATAACGGAGCCCTTTACTCTTTGCGTCAGGTTGCCTTAACAACTGGTAAGCAAACTGCTAGGAGCAAAACAGTCCAGACAGTCAGGTGGGAGGCTAGGAATGCACACTTTCACATTTTCCAGGTGGCCTCGTTGTCACTGACTCCTGCCACCCTACCTTGCTGTGCTGTGGGACCTATACCTAACACAGACGATAGACACAGGAGTCTAGCAGATTATTCTTGAGTTGAACATAGTATAGGATATAATGAGGGGTGGCGCTCTCTCCCTCTCCCTGGACTTCTGAGTTTTGAGAGCATATTTTGTATGCCTTCTAGAAGCGGACTAAACACTAAGAATGTAACTGAAGGAGACGGGTTTATGAATCTTATAAATATTTAATGAGAATTTAAGATCTTGTTTAAGGCTTGATTGAAGAGGTAAAAGTGAGGCTGCCCTGTCTTCTAATAAGACTTAACATGTTGATTGTTTTTAATTAAATAGTATTAAAATATACAAGCCTTCTCTATGATCCAGATATCTTCAGTTCCTGAGTCTGAACTTAGTATTGAGGGTTTGGATAGCAAGAAATTTATCTGAAAATTTATCGGAATCTATTTGGTTCCTGGATTTGGCTTTGGATAGCAAGGAATCATTAGATTGGAAAACCCAGCGAAGATCTTATACATTCTTTCTTTTCCCAGAGGAGGTGAGGGTGCCGCCTATGGCTGGACAGATTTCTCTTCATTAGGAATTGGCAAGATTGTGGCTTAATGAAGGTCACAGAGCAGATAATTAATTATAAGAACAGGACTAGGAAAAAAATGAATTCATCTGAGTCCAGGCATAGTGCCACAAGGCCGCCCTGTGCCCTAGCCAGTTAGGGTCAGTCAGCACTTCTTTATAGTGCTCAGCAAAATGAACAGGAGACCCCAGGAATCAGTGGTAACTATGAAAACCTTGACTAAGTGCCCAGGGAATCCCAAGGATTTGACATAGACAGTATTTGTAAGAATAGAGCTGAGGATGTGTCTGATACCTTTGCAATAAAAAACCTGTACAGTAGGAAGATTTAAACTTAATTCCAGAAATAATTTTTAACTTGATCAATTTTATTTTGAAGAAATGTCATCTGGCCCCAGTTCACATTTTGTTCCTGTGAATAATTGTCTTGCCTTGGTTATTTGCTACTTACCTTAAGTCCTCTTTACACTGCACAAAAAGCATCCACATGGAGAGTGGGAAGTGGGGAGAAAATGCTGCGGGATATGTGGAAGTGGAGAGAGTGAGGAAGCTAAGTCATCTTCAGTGCCTTTGAGGCTTGCGTATTCCTGCTGTTGCCCCACAAGCCAAGACTTGGCGCTGGATGGTGTGTCAGACCTAACAGTTAGCCATGCAGAGGAATAGGTGCGAGTGTTTCCACCTGTGTCGATGGGATTTGATTTTTCTTTTTTTTTTTTTTAAATTTACTGCCCGGCTAGTGTGGCTCAGTGGTTGAGCATCGACCTATGATCCAGGCATTTGCAATTCGATTCCCAGTCAGGGCACATGCCAGGGTTGCAGGCTTGACCCCCAGTAGGAGGCGTGCAGGAGGCAGCCAATCAGTGACACTGTCTCTCTTCCTCTCCCTTCCTCTCTCTGAAATCAATAAAGACATATTTTTTAAAAAATTACTTATTTATAAATTACATGTACTGCTATACTTATATATTATGAAAATTATAAAACATAAGATTTGAAATCAGAAATGACAAGATAAAAATATCTTTTTCCTAATACTTTCTCCTTTTTTATTTTTAAATTACAGTTTACATTCAGTATTATTTTGCATTAGTTTCAGTTGTGCAGCATTTGATTTTTCTTTTTAAACAGTTTTGTTTGAGTAGTTTGCAGAGGCTGATTTCTGTCTTTGTGCATGGCATAATTTTATACTGTTTATCCTTAGGTGGGTTTGCTGAGTTCTCCCGTTGTTTCCCTGGCCTCTGTGAAGGAAAATCCACTCTAGTTCCTACCTGCATTTCTCAGCCTTGCTTACCGGTTGCCAACACTGGGCCAACCCGAATTCTTCCCAATCTTTACCTTGGCTGCCAGCGAGATGTCCTCAACAAGGTGGGTGCTTTGAAAATGTCCTCATTGCAGGGTTTATTGTTAGCAGCTGGAGAAACAGTGGTTTCCCATTCGCTGTTGTTTCAGACACACCTGGCTTCCAGAAAGGAAGTACACCCTTCTCAGGGTGACTCCCGGCGGCAAACACTTACATCATCTTTTGGAGTGCTGCTTTGTGTGATGTAAATGATTGCCATAGGAAATGCAAACTGTTGTCATATTTGTTTGTTCCTCATAGGTCCAAGAGACCTGGAATAGGACAAGATTTTTCACAAATTTAGCTTTTTTTTCTCAGTGTATTCGTTTTTCTATTTTAATAGTTGGGCACACTGGGAAAGGCTAGTACTTCCTAACGTCACATTCAGAAATGTACTTGTTTACTGCAGCATACTAGAAAGGGGCTTGGGGTGGGCTTGGATTGAGGAAGGACACTGTGGTGATCGCTGGCTGGAGGAGCAAGAGAGGTGGTAGATAGATGGCGAGGATAGGGACAAGAGTGTGCACTGCAGGCCGCACTGTCTGAGGCCCATTGGAGTAGTTTGGCTGAGAAAGAAGAGGGAACTGCATGCATGGATTCTTGCTGGAAAGGATGTGGGCTGTACTGAACAAGGCATGCCCAACAGAGGAGCCCAAGTTGAGGCTGTTGTATGCAATGGTACAAACATAACGGTAGTAGAAAATTGGTCTCCACAGCTTATATCTTCTTAACCAGTAGTGGTAGAAAACAGTGCTCCAGGTGCCCAGGTAAATGATTTTTCTCTAAAACCTCTTAAGTTACATCACCGTTAATTGAAAAAGCAATCAAAGATATTCATTCAGATGTTAGCTATTTACAAGTGCTGCTTTCTTACATGAAGGCAGAACCTTAACGTCTCCTTGAGGAACTGAAAGAATCCAGCCAACTGTAAAAGAAGCGTCCAGGTTGGCTTCCTTTAGCATGGGGAAAGCTAGGCTTTCCAGGGGGGAAAAATACTGTCATGGGCAGCAATGTGGCATTCCATTGTTGATTTCATTTTTTGTTCTCAAAACTCCTGCCTCTTTAAAATTTTACCTCGCCACTGTTGCTAATCTGTCAGCTCTGTGAGATCTGCCTGCTTGAAATTTAATAGCTTCTGCTTGTACTAAGCCTTTCTGGTGAGGTCACAATGCTTTTGAGCATGTGATGCTTATTAATTCTCTTAGAGATAAGCAAACTATGTCACGGAAAGCAAAATTAATTTCCTAAAGTCACATACCTCCCTAGGGCAGAGCTGGAGATGCTTTATTTAATCTTCAGATCGGAAAATAAACTAACAGAAAATTCCTAGTTAGGGATCCTGTCCACAAGCACCCCAGTAAAACTCAACCAGCCAGCCAGCAGGTAATTTCACAAATAATTGTGTTGCCGATCATTTTAGTTGCCTTTGACCCTTTAGTTACCTTTGACTCTAAATTAAATGTCACTTCCATTTTGCTACATACCTTTTCTGGGTTTAACAAATGTGTAAATTATGTGAGTGCCCCCAAAGTGAGGACAGGAGTTGAGGACAGGGAAGCAGTTTTCTCACTTTAACTGGCTTCTAAATATATGCTAAAGTGGATACATACGTAGATGCACTGAGAGGAAGTGGCTGTAGGAAGTTCATGGTTAAAACTGCTTGGGCAGGGAGCTATTAGCTGCTTTATTAAAACACGTGTGACTAGGGAGTGGTGAGAAATAAGAATGCACTGTAGGCTGGACAGCTTTGAAAGTGGTGCATAGAAATTTATATCTAACTTCGAGATTCATTGTTGAGAAGAATCTTAGTGCCGAAGGGGATTTCAGAGATCATTTAGTTGTTATCCTTCACTCAATAAATGAGTAAATTGATATTCCACAAATGTCAAATGAATTCCCCATGATGAGTTTTAGAACCAGATTTGTCTCTATTTCACAGACAGCATAAACTGATTTTCTTCTCAACTCTCTGATTTAAACTTTCCAGGAGAAATAGTATATGCTTCTTGAAGTTCTTAAGATGAAGATTTTATAATCTTTCCTAATATAGTACATTCCTTTTGATTAAAATTTAAAGTCTTTAAAAACAGCACCCGAAAGGCCACTAATTAGTCTTTAAAAAAAAAAAGTGACAACAAAATATGTTAAAAGCATGGCAGAGATTGAACTCAAACCCAGGCTACTGTGGCTTTAAGTCCTGTGTTTATAGAAGAACACCAGCAGTACCCATCTTCTGGAAGATGGAATTTTCTATAATAGGCTGTTATAGAGGACTGACAGATTTTCTTTCCTGCTTTTTCTGTATCATGTTTTATACCAGCATTGCTCAGGAGAAATGTAATGCAAGCCACATACATAACTTAAAGTTTTCCAGTAGCCTTATTAAAAAAGGAAACACGTGAAATTAATTTTAATAACATTTTGATCACAACATATTTAGAATGTTGTTTAAACACGTAATCTAAGAATTATTGAGATATTTTGCATTTTTTTGGTATTAAGTCTTTGAAATCGGGTGTGTATTTTATGGTTACCGCACATCTCAATGTCGACGAGCCGCATCTCAGGTGCTCAGTAGCCGTGTGTGGCTTGTGGCTGCCATACTGGACAGTGCAGGTCAATGCTCTCAGCCGTATTAATTTTACTTACGTTTCAAAGACATGGCTCTGTGTAAAAGGCCATAAGAAGTCATTGGTAGCAAAAAGAATACGTTTATTTTCCTTTGCCCTCACAATTGTCCTTTTGTTTCTCACAATCTGTTCTTTACCCTCTAGTCTTTGTACTGGAGTTGGAACGGGAACAGCTGATTGTACTAAAAGTAGTTTGCTGATGTCCAGTTCACATCTGAACTGAGTGGGATTTGAGCAAGAACCTCTAGTTACTATGTGAAAGACAAAAGATATTAATCGTTTTTCTCCCTTATCACTTAAAATTTCAAATAGGGACTTTTGTTTCACACATAAATACACAAAGTGTATGACGGAATTACCTATTTCGAGTGGTTACTGAGCCAGAGCTATACCTGTGGTGAGCCACTCAGCCTCTTCTGCTGCCCCCTCATTCCGTTTTAAACTACCTGCTACCAGCATTCTTTGTGTAGCCTCTGATTTCAGTCCTTCGCCGTGCAAAACTGGTGTCACTATGCTACTTATTCTGCCTGCCACAAGGACTACTGCTATTTTCTCTGTTGTTTTCTTATAAGGGTTAGGTAATAGCCTAGACACAGTATAGCCAAATGCTGCTTTTCTGGTTTCTGTATGATGTAGGAAAACAAAGGTCTTCAGAATTTTCAGTAAAGATGCAGTTTTCATTCAGTGTCCACTAATATATAGACCACCACACAGTGTGCAAGTGGGTTAGACAAGACCTGTTCACAAAACAATAATTCATGAGACAAGGTGATTGACAGTGTAATTCCCGACACTGAGGCAGTGAGACAGTGACTGGGAGCCAGCTTTGGAAGTGAGCATTTTGTCATCCCAGGTCTCCACCTTACCAGCCACATCACTTTAGCTAAGTTACTAAACCTTGGTTTCTTCACCTACGAACCGTAGTGGTTCCTGCCTCTTACTGTCCACGTGAGGTTCAAATGAAATGACACATGCTAAGTACAGTGCCTGGTTTATAGGGATACTCATTATTGTCATCACGAGGTCATTATACCAGATGCCAGGGTGAGTGGTACACACAGTGGGTATGGTTAGTTAAGGAAGGCTAGATGGAAAAGTAGGAGTTAAGGTCAATCTTGAAGGCAAAAGGAGTGGCTAATGCAAAGTTATTCATTGAATCGACTTCCAAAAGAAAAATTACAATTCCATTATCTAGAATTGCAGTGCCCATGGTGATTTAGTGAGGTCTCTGTTTCCAGCCTAGCTGAACATGGGAGACCTGACCAAATAGAAGTTCTATTAAGACTATATATTAATTTGTATTCTTTATATTACTCCACAGTCTATCAACAGATCATAGAGCCCATATTTAAAAATTAGTTCAACTACAGGGGAAAGTTTATTTCATGGTTTAGGAGAAAGAAACTTTTAATGGGGAAAAAATAGTGCATGAAAATCATAATAATAAAATTTAGGTTTATTTTTGACTCACAAATATTATTTTTAGAAGTTTTCTTAATTTTATATTGAGATAAGAATCCATTTTTTAAAATTCTTAGGGGGTAATCTCTTCTACTTTACCCCACAGACCCTTTTTTATATCCAGCCTGCTACATTCAGTGTAATTTCCTTCTTAAGGCCAATTAGGAGAAAGGTCAGTTTGAATTAGTGAAAAATATACATTATAGGCTCTCTGGGGGAGGAAGGCAACAGCTTTATTGAGATATAATTCATATGCCATATGATTTATAAGCTTTTTTATCAAGATATAATTGACATATAGCATTGTATGATCACCTGTTTTACAGGTGAGAAACTAAAGCCAAGGGAGGTTAGGTAACCTACACAAGATCATCCAGGTAATGAAGAGTAACGTGCTAAGCTGTGCTCTGGTTTTCCTGGGGCCAGTAGCCATGTATTTTTCATTATTCCACACTACACTGAGTTCATCCACAGTAACAGATGGGAAAATGGAGTATATCGGTACATGTGCTGGTGGAAGGGTAAATGTGGTAGCAGAAGTTTATTGAAATTAGCTTCTGATTGTTTCCATTTTTTCAGTGTAGTAGAAAACAAGTTCAGCTGTCAGCTGAGAGGGCCTATAGAGAGTTTGGAAAGAAAAGGAAAGGGTGGAATGGCGTCTGGGAGAGGGAGAAAGTGAACAAACTAGGGAAATAGAATGGTTGCTGAGGAGCAATGAGTTCAAAGTGAGATCCGGCAGTGTAGCTGAGCATTTTCCTCCGGCCATGTCCAGCATGTGGATTTGCAGGTGTAGACAGGAGGAGAATTAGATTTAACCAGGGTTGTAATCTTGCCATGTACATGTGAAGAAGCAACAGTGGGACAAAGGAATTGAAGGTGAAAGCAACAGAGCAATTGTAATGATTGACCACAGAATTTAAGCTGGGCAAGAAAGGAAGCAGAAACACATGAGGATGAAGTTACAGAGAAAAAAGGGGTAGAATCAACAGATGTAAGTCTTGGGGAGATTGAAAGATTCCAGGAATAGTGGGAGAGAGTAAGCTGGGAGGAGGGAGGAGTCTAAGAGTGGGTTTTGTGAGGTTGAGATTGGGGGGTGTTAATGGTTATTGGTAATGGCAGAGACCACACTAGGTCTCCTGGGAGTGAGTGGTTAAGGGGAGGAGTTCAAAGGACTGAGAGGCCATGGTGTTGAAAGGATATTTGAAGACCAGAGAAGAGAGATTATTTTATCAGTAGAAACAGTGTATTAGCAGACTTCACACAAAGTTGAGGTAAATATTAGTATAAGATGACTGCTCTCTGAGAGCTTCAAGATTATGATGCTTAATTATGAAACACAGTAATATTCAGTTGTGTATGTTTTACACAATATACTGAAACAAAGCTGAATGAATAACATAAATATCTTTATAATTTAGGAAGAAGTCATTGTCCTCCGCCTATGAATAAAAACAATCATTATTTTATAACAGTTAGACTCATTCTTCATAACTGTGGTTGCATCGCAGTTCCGTTGTCAGAAACATTGACATGGATGCCCTCGCAGGCGCTCATATGCAATAAGAATGATCAGGGGAGCAGGTTAATAAATAGTTATGTGAAACTTCAGCAGAAACCTGAACCGACTTCAGAGATGCACTGACATCACCTGGTGCCCTCAGCAGGTGAATGCCTGCCTCCTGGCCTGCGGTGGGCCCTGGCTGCAGCACATCTTCTTCCACCACTACCAGGAGGCAGTTGTGTCTGCTCATAAACCTGTTTAGGCCAGTGTGCTTGTTACTATAATTATGTACATTAATTAAAACATTACATACACCAATGAAGTATGAATGAGGGAAGAGAATTGTTTTCCTGTGACCAGAGTGAAATGCCTTCGAAAGATTCAGGAAAGACAAATTGCTCTACATTTTTTTTGTCTAACTAGGTGGGAGGAAGGCAACTGTAAAATGTTTAGGGGACAGTCATAATCTAGAAGGATGCTATTCTGATAATGTTTCACAAGTTCTTGCCCATTAAGGAAGTAGAAACATAAGTGGTAGATGCATTTGGTTCTGATTTGCTCAAGAGCTCCATTAAGCTAACCTATAGAAATAAGTGCCATGGTCCTGCACCAGAAGTTAGCAAATTAATTCACATTTATTTGTTCTGAGTTAAAATGTTTCAAGTCCATATATATCATTTTAACAATATTCTCCTTTAAGTGAATTTTTCACAGAAGTAGTAACTACCAAGCCAGATTGAGAGGGTACTTATTTATGGTATTTAATTCAGTAGCCAAATCATGTTTAAATTTAATATGGTGTGACATTTTAGGATTTTTGCTTGCTTTTTGTTTTTAAAATGGACCATGTTTAATTTATTAAGTCCAATCTTATTACAGAAAGAATTTCAGGTAGCAGCTGGGTAATTGATTTAATAAACAGATTTTCTATAAGTAAAATTTTTATAAATCAAGTGAAATTATTCCATTTTTTCTCATTTTGTGTTTAAATTATCACTCAATTTCAACATATTAATGTCTTTCCTTTCCCCCTTGGTCAGTTATCTAAAACAAAGCTACTGTTTAAATGCACCTTCTATGGTACATTGTTTTGTAAGTGAAGAATACTTTTGAGATATAAACAGTGTTGTAAGCCTGGATTATTGATGTTTCCTAAATGAGGTCAGAACCACCCCCTTTCTGTGTTTCCTTTCTTTCTGCCATAGCAGCACATTTGTGGTTTGGTGATGGCATCCATCAGGGGGGACGGGACAATGAACGTGCATGGTGATAACCAGTCACCCACCCGCCACAGCAGATCCCAGTGTTAACATGGCAGAAAGACCAGCACTATGATGCCTGCTAACTGCTCTTGAGGCAACAGTAGTGAGGAGAGAGGGCAAATAAGACTTGGATAAGTCTTCCCAAATAGCCATCTGTTCTTACATGGGAGATATGGTAGAAGGGGATCTCAGTGTAGAAAAACAGCTGTGACCTTTGCTAATGTACCAAAGTGTAAAGGCTGTAGTAGTAAACGCCACTAAGGTCCTCACAGCCTCACAGAAGCATGCGAGACCGCCACAAGACTGGCTCAACCCGGCGGAAGGCTGGTCTCTGTAAGAAGCTCGCCTCATCTCACAGCTGAGATAGGGTTGCATACATGATCTGGAGTTGTTAAATCCTTTTATGTAAAATAAAATACATTTATTGTGCCAAATATGGTAAAGGAAGGGATCAGGGAATTGGGTAAAAAAGGAAGAAAACTACCAATTGTCTTTCAGGTCGTTGGAAAAGATTTGTAGAGGAGGTAGCATTACAAGGAAAGGCAGAAGTGACCAGAATTGCTTGTGAGAGAATGACTTCAGGCTTAGAGCATTTCCTGAGGCAGCAGCGGATGACTAAATGAAGCGGGTTGTAGAGGCTTGCCTGGAAAATGGTAGATAGGTGTCAGTTGAAGAAACACGTATTGAATGCAGCTCAGTACCTGGTGCTGAGGGTAGAAAAACAAGCAAGAATCAGTCCAAGATCCCACTACTTCACTACTTAATAGGAGAGACAAGAATTATCTGCTAATTATAACATAGTATGCTTTACTAATGATGTGGGCAAAGTACTTTGGAAGGACAGAGAATGTAATGGTTAATTATGCAGCATGGGAAAGAGTTCATAGCAAGGTTAATTTGAACGAAGTAGGAAGAGTGGAAGAGAGTCATCAGGAAGAGGAACATGGCCTGCTGAGCACAGGAGCAGTGTGAGCACAGCATGGAAGGGTGGGTGTGTGTGTGATGGTGGGGGACTCGGAGGTTGTGCAGGCCCTGGAACGGCCAGTCTAGAGACACAATGAAATTAAAAATGTGGATAAAGCACTAAGCCCATGGTAATTATAAGAAAGATTACTCTAGTGTTTGTTCAGTTTCTGGTTTGGAGAGGAAAACACTGTAAACTTCAAGAGCTCCCTGGTGGCTTTTACGTGATCATGATGAGGACTGACCACTGAGCAGTAGTGACTGAGAATAGAGAAGATAAACGGGAGGTGACACCAAACGGATCTAGCACTGTTTATTTGGATGTGAGCGCTGTGAGAAAGAAGAGGAATGAAATGATCCTGTTTTCTAGCTCAAGTATCTGGGTGCATTTGATTACCATAAACCAATTTTAGATTACAGAGGAAACAGGAACTTGGGGCAGAGAAGGGAAGAGATAATGTGTTGAACTTCTGACATTTTGGGTTTGAAGAGCCCAAGGAACATCCAAACAGAGATATCCAGTAGATGGTTGGAAATATGGGTTAGAAATTGAAGAGGGTGTGTATACTTAAGAATCATCAGGATGTACAGTTGAAAATTAAACCTATGAAAATAGATTCAGCCTTTAAAATGAATATTTAGAGTGAGAAGACTGCCTAGAACTCTATCTTAGAGAACAACCAGCATGTTCAGTTTGGGAAGAAAATATTCTTCTTGTATGTACATATATTCTAAAGCCATCGTAAATTGTTGTGGTTTTATTTTGTATTCTTTGTTCTAGTTCTCTCTATAGTAACGAAGTAATTGAGAGTTGACTATGTTAATGATGAATGATCTTCAAGCATACTATTTTAAACAGCCATTTTTGTCCTTGAAAGAAAATTCTATTTTTAGCTTAAGTCTATAAATGTCACTGTGTTGGTTTTTGGGTTTCACCTATTGAATGAACTCTGACCAGTTCTAATAAACTAGTATTAAACAAATTCTGATTATTTCAAAGAAACTAGTAATTTTTATTATTAGTTATACTTTACTCTTTGAAGATGATTGTGCTAGTATGTTATTAGTCATTTTAATTGCTCTTTCCTTCCATAGGAGCTGATGCAACAGAATGGGATTGGTTATGTGTTAAACGCCAGCAATACCTGCCCAAAGCCTGACTTCATCCCTGAGTCTCACTTCCTGCGAGTGCCTGTGAATGATAGCTTTTGTGAGAAAATTTTGCCCTGGTTGGACAGATCCGTAGATTTCATTGGTAAGTAGCTCAAGTAATATTACAGTCCTTTGGATTATAGTTCTCATGTATAGTATAACCCCTCCCTCTATCCCCTTTTTTTCTTTAGAGAAAATAAGCCTGTTTCAGAGATTTCAAAAGTCTGAAAACAACACATGATGCTGCTTATCTCACTTAGTGGACAGGGTGACGTGTGGGTGCCATGCTCTCCCCAAGGGACTGGCCTTGTGACATTCTAGCTAACTGAACAGTCCCATGGGAAGCCTGATAGGATCTGTGTGTATTTGCAAGTGTTTGAAAATCAATTAAACTTTTGGGGTTACATTTCTTACCCACTTTTTCAAAACCTATAAAATACTGTTGGAAACTTTGGTGGCTTTCCTTGAACTGTTTTTGCCTTGCTACTATGTTTTTTCTTAGAGAAAAGTCAAATCCTGTAAAGATAAATCCCTTTACATTTAAAGTCTTTATGTCACAAGATTTCTAAGCCTCATTCTCTGTGCCAGTAATTTCAAGTAGTGTTGGAGCTAATAAATCCC